AGTTTCAATTATTTTAAGACATTTTTTCTAATTTACGTTATTTTCACAGATACAAATATTTAAGTCCTTTTAAGTAAAATTTCTCGGACATTCAGGCCAGTTTCTTAATTGCTAATACTGTTTATTATAAACAGAGCATTTACTAATGTCATTTTTTTAATATCCGGGTTTTTTTATAAATTCTCTTCCCTTCTCCACTGGCTCATGCCTTTCATCTGACTTTTTTTTGAAATTAAATTCTTTTTTTTTTTTTCGACAGCTGTCTTTTAATCAGTTTAACTCAGTCTATATACCGGGGTTGAATGAGACTGATTCTCTTTTTCGGTTGAAATAGGTTTTTTCACCATATAAGGTAATTTTGGATTTTATTTTAATGTTTCGGTTGAAACTACAAATACAGTTCTTGGGAGATAACTCACTTTTTCACAATCTCTATTTTTTGGTTCCATAAATATATAGTCTTTCTGATTGTGAAATTTACATTTCGTTATTTGGAAATAAACTCTCCCATCTAACGTTTTCTGTCTTCCCTTTACGAGCCTTTTTCCTATCTTTCTCAACTCTTGGAAAACAAGCATTAATTTATTTTCCCAAGCCCCGCTTTTATCAAATTCTTTTCTGGTCACCCCTTTTTTATAATTGACCTTTCTCTTTTTCTAATGACGATCCGCCCATTTTCTTTTCTCTCTTCTGGTCGTTTTAAAAATAAAAAGGTTCCATCGTTTGAAGATATTTGTCTAAATGATTCGTTTTTAGACAATCCTTCTCTTTTTTCGTTTTTTTTATCACGAGGAGCAAATTTCTCTCGATGACCTTATCAACTTTTCTTTTTTTTTGAGTAAAAAATTATCAACGTAGGAGAGATTAAGCAAAGGTGAAAAAAAACGTTTTCTCTTCTCTTTTTCTCGTTTTGCACATAGATTATTTACATAGATTCTCTAGATAGATAGAATCATTTTCTTCATACATCTCCATCAGATTGATTTTCTCTTTTTCTCAGATAGATAGATTTCTATGATTCCTTTTCCATTCTATCTTTCATCTTTCTATCATCAGAGTGATATTCTTGATAGATAGATAGATTTCTTTTCTTTCTTTTTAGATGATTGATTTTTCATACGTTTATTTCATTTCTTTCTTTCATTCAGAGGATAGATATATAGATTCCTTTAGATAGATAGATAGATAGATAGATATTAAAAAAAGAAAATTCCTTTGTTTGTTTAAATAACAGAATATATAAAATGCTTTTTTTCTTTCTTTTCATTACAATCTTTTCTTCACTTGTCATTCTTTTATTCAACCTTTTTATTCCTTCACTGAATTTTTTAACACAAAATATTCATTTAATTTTTTCCGTCAAGTCGTTGAAGAAGAATGTTTACACGCTTTCTTTCTTTCTTTGCATTTTCTAAATAGAAGTTTCTTTCCAATTTTGAAACCCTTTAATCTTAAAACAATTCCATTTTCTTTCAACATTCTTTCAACAATGTATTTACTTGCTTTTTAAATATTTCTCCCCCTTTGTTTCTTTCGTTTTAAAATTTTTTTAAAAAAACTTCTTTGATTTTTTTTCTTTCTTTCACTTTTCTTTTTTTCTCTCTTGAGACGAAATTCAAATTTCCCGTTTTTTCTTTTTTTACACCATTGATAGAATCAAATAGGAACATTTCATGGCGTCTTAGTACAAATTAAAAACACTATAAAATATTGCGCCGACTTCTTCAATATTTTTAAATATTTTGATTATGGAGAAAAAACGAAATGAAATTGTTGTTTCCTAAATAAATCTATGGCAAAAATTCACCAAAAAAATGTTACCTCATTTTTTTTTTTATTAAATAAGAATTGTTTTATGCTAAACAATGATTAATAAATCAGTGAATAGGAAGGTTGTACTAATTAATTTAAAAAAGCCTTCCAGTTTCTTTCTATTATCAACAGATAAACATAAAGATTTTCCCTTTCTCGATGAGTAAGCCGTTGTTAACGACATTGTTTTTCTTCAACTGGTCAATATCATTTGTAAGTTCTTCTATGTGTGATGTTAATAACTGATTTCTTCAAAATTAATTAAAGATTTCAAAAGATGACGATTAATGAACGAATTACATTCACTAAACATCAGTTTTTCCTCATTTCAGTTTTCATTGAACATTATTATTGGTTGAACATTCAAACAATTTCTAGTTTTGCCGAAGAATTGACAAGCACATTTAGAAAAACCTTTCTCAATAAAATATTTCCGATACTCGAAGTTTTCACAAAATATATCACTTGTTAAAATGAATTTATTCAAAAAACAGATTTTGCTTGAAAAGTAAACTTGGCCAAGTTCCAATTTCAAATTTTCAAAGATAAATTTTTTTAAATTTATCATATATTTAGATTAAAGGCATAAGTTTTCAGAATTGTGTTTCAGTTACTCAGTAATATTTGAATAACTATTTACAAAAATATTTATATGAAACAGACGAATATCGCTAAAAATATAATATTTAATATTATGAACTGATAAAAGTTTTCCGATTTTAAATAGCATCCCCAAAGCTCAGATGAAGTCTTTCTCTTATTCCATATATTTAAAATTAAATTCTTCTGTTAATTAACACTTTTCACGATATTCTTTTCTTCTCAGGTGAAGTCCATTTGGATTTTTTTTTTATATATCTATTGCCAAAAGAAGGTTGACTATAAAACGATTTTTTTATTTTGGTTTTTTTCGTAAAAAAATATAGTTCGATCATATGAACGTGCTCGACAATCGATTTATTTATATATCCATGTATCTCATATATATATATATGCATGTGTGTGTGTGTGTGCGTGTGTGTGTTTGCTTCCGTATTTATATTTTCCTTCAAACACTGTTTTTTTTTCTTTAAGCAAATCAACAGCTCGCCCTGGTCAACCCAGTGGGTAAAAGTACAATACCAAATATGATATTCATGCTCTATGATCAAGGAACATTGACGTGGAGCAAAACAGATTTAAACAATGGAAAGCAGATAATCATCAACTGACCGGTGGCAACGTCGAGACTGGAAAGTACCTAGATGATCAAGTCGCTTGTTATATATAAATATATATATATATATATATATATATATATAGAGAGAGAGAGGAGATATCAGGTTGAAAGACATTTTCTCCCTTATATATATATATATATATATATATATATATATATATTATATATATGAACATTTGAAGTCACCACTCAGTGGCAACAGACTGTTTCATGCTAGACGCAGTCGTCCAGGTCACTTGTTGGGACGTTGTAACATTTCTCGACTATTTACCGGATAGAGGTTGGTTGCATGACTAAAGATAGTTAATTTGGAAAACCGTGTTGTATTGAAGTTACCATTTATATTTTTAACCAAATCTTGATTTTCTTGAAAAAGTTCTTCCACTATTCTAGGAGGCATTGATTTAAATATTAAATTTATTTTCAGAAAACATATTTTTTTAAAAAAAAAAAGATATTTTATGACGTAAATTTATTTTTGTGTTTTTTTATATATATTAGATAATTTGTTCCAATAATAGGAAGTTTTATTTGAATTTTGACATATTTTCTGTTTAGTCAATATTTGTTTTGAATTTTTTTGGCAATTGTTTCGCTATTCAATAAGTCTTAACTTATTTATAGTTTATTTATTCAATATATTTGAATTCTTTAAATAATTGTTTTTGGATTTTGGTTTTTTATAATATCATCGTAATTTTTAAAATTATAGTTGGCTTTTGATGTAAAATAAAATTGCATTTTTTCAGTTCCACAAAGGGACGAAATTAATGATGAATTATTATTTTTTTTTCTTATATTTTTTAATCTTTAATCTAGTTTTATTAACCGTCATGTCTTCGTATATACACTAAGAACAGACACATTTTTCATACAATACACATTTTTTAATTTATTTTATTTCCAACTTTGAATCAAAATACCTTTCATATAATTAACTGTAAACAGATGCATAATGTCTATGCAGAAAAACAGAAAAAAAATAATATTTTGTTAAATCCATTTATTAATTTTCATCAGTGAAAAAATATTCGTACAATGCAAATTTCAGATTTTAAAACTTCTAAATTGCTTTAATACTCTATATTATTCAAGTGAAATATTCAAGAATGTTCCAATAATGTTATCAGTAGTTATTTTTAGCCTTTAAAAACAGAACATTCTGTAATTGATATTCGTGCAAGAAGGTTATCATCATTGCAAGAGGTAAAAGAATTGACAAATTCGCAAAAAAAAACTGATTGTTAAGCTCTGGAAAGAAGGTAAAAGTTACGGTAAAGTCTCAGACAACCTGAATATTCCATTTAATTCTATTAGTCCATTCATTGTACGGTATAAAACTCAAAGCTTTTGAAAGCCAAAGAATAGGTGCTCAACATGTTTGAGGAAATTAATGCGTCAAATTAAACAAAATCGTTACTCGTCAAGAGTTGCAAGATGATTTCCTTTCATCAGGAATTTGTGTCATTAAACGGACAATAACCAATGAAATTCATAGAAACACGCTAAAGTCCAGCTTCCCCCCACTCCCGAAAAATCCCACTGCTATTGAAAAAACAGAGATGTCAGGTTGAAATTCGTTCGTAAACGTAAGGATAAGGAAAAATCGTATTGGGAAAGAGTATTATGGACAGACGAAACTAAAATTGAGTTGTTTGGACGTAATTCTAGAAATCATGTATGGAGGAAAGATGGCGATGCCTTCAAACAAAAGAACACAGTTCCAACAGTGAAATTTGGTGGTGGCAGCATCATGGTTTGGGGATGTTTTTTTTCTGCAAAAGGTACTGGCAACATATCAGTAATAGATGGTAGAATGAATGCCGCAGCATATCAAAATATTTTGGAAGCAAATTTAATGATTTCGGTTGAAAATCTTGAACTTCCTCCTGATTGGATCTTCCAACAAGATAATGATCCTAAGCACACTGCAAAATCTACGAAGAAATGGCTTGCTAAAAATAATGTAAATATCCTGAAATGGCCAAATCAGTCCCCAGATTAAAACCCAATCGAAAATCTGTGAGGTTATTTGAAAATTCAAATCCAATCAACAAATATTCCGGAGCTGAAGAACATATGCGAAATAGAATGGGACAAAATAGCAACTAAAATTTGCAAATCATTGAGAAGTACAAGAACTCTGTTGCTGTAGAAGTGAATAATGGCTATGCTAAAAAGTATTAAATGAAAATTATTTAATCTTTTTTGTATTGTATTTTTCACACATTAAAATGGATAAATGGGATTTATTTCTATTAAATCAATTTTTTTTATTTATATGAAATATTTATTTATTTTTATTTTGGAAATATAATTATATTAAAATTTGTATTTATTCAATTTTGTTTTCCCCAATAAATTAAAATTTGTTTATGTAAATATTTGTTTCCCCCTTATAATATAAAATCAAAACATTTATATATATATCATATTATATATATAATTAATTTATATTAAATCATTTATGTATTTAACCTTAATCCATTTTAATAACAAAAATTTTTGGACTGTTTCATTATTGAAAATAAAAGACTTAATTTTTTGTGAAAATTGTATAATTTGAATTCTATTGAGATATTATATATATATATATATATATATATATATATATATATATATAATCTGTATTTGTATGTGAAATTGTAAATGGTTGAATGAATTATTTTTTAATTCATAAGTTTCTATTCCCAAAGTATTCCTTATTTTTTTTTATTTATTCATTTTGAGGATACATTTTAAATGCAAGCATCTTGGATTATAAATAAAATGAACAAAGAATAAATTGTATATTTATTACGTAACTTATACAAAGGTTTAACATCAATATCATTCTATATTTATGAGATGAGGTATTATATACATTTATTTATACTATTTGAACTATTGTCCTCATCTTTTGTCTTGATATTTATCACAACGTTTCTTCTTTGTTTGTACGTTCCGGCCTTTCTTCAGGTGGTTGGAATGTCGAACTGAATCCTTTATTTCGCTTTTGGGGTAGACAGTTCTAGTTCCACGTGCCGTGTCTAATGGATGTCAGTTATCAGTTATCTTCTGGTAATTCCCCTCCCCAAGTTCTCCACTGCCTTAACCAGGTATAGAACTCAAAACACTTTGGGTTTTGTCACTGGATATAATCAACGACTTTATCCACTGTGCCTCTTTAAGTAGTTGTGTAGGACAATATTCCGAAGAGTCTCTCTCTCTCTCTCACTGTCTCTCTTTCTCTATCTCTCTCTCTCTCTCTCCTTCTCTCTCTCATTTCAAACACAATGTCCCAAACAGTTGTGGAACAAAAAGAAAGCATCTGTAGAGAGATAGCAGCCATTCTAATTGATATCTTATTTAAGATTTGAGTATTACATCTCTGAGATGGCCACCACCACAAAGAGAACATACACAAGCTCTCTCTCCCTCTATCTCTCCCTCTCCTCTCTCTCTCTCTCCCTCTCTCTCTCTCTCTCTCATTTCAAACACAATGTCCCAAACAGTTGTGGAACAAAAAGAAAGCATCTGTAGAGAGATAGCAGCCATTCTAATTGATATCTTATTTATAGATTTGATATATTACATCTCTGAGATGGCCAAAACCACAAAGAGAACATACACAAGGCTCTCCCAATTTAACACTCCCTCTCTCTCTCTCTCTCTCTCTCTCTCTCTCTCTCTCTCTCTCCTTCTCTCTCTCATTTCAAACACAATGTCCCAAACAGTTGTGGAACAAAAAGAAAGCATCTGTAGAGAGATAGCAGCCATTCTAATTGATATCTTATTTAAGATTTGAGTATTACATCTCTGAGATGGCCAGCACCACAAAGAGAACATATAAAAGCTCTTAAAATTTTATCTCTCTCTCTAGTCTCTCTCTCTCTCTCTCTCTCTCTCTCCCTCTCTCTCTCTCTCTCTTTCAAAATATGGACAGATTATATAAACATATTGTTTTACAAAAATATAAGTTATCTTAATTTGATTTAAAATTCTAATTGGATATCTTATTTAAGATTTGATGTTACATCTCTGAGATGGCTACCAAATTTTGAACATAAATTAAATCTTAATTCATCTCTTCCTGTAATTTTCTTTTTCTCTCTCTCTCTCCCTTTCTCCTTAAAACACAGCAAAATGTCAATTTCCCAAACAGTTGTGGAACAAAAGAATTCATTTGTAGAGAGATAGCAGTGGTTCTATCGCTTATTTTTTTTAATGATTTGACTATTACATCTCTGAGATGGCCACCACCACAAAAAAGAACATACACAAGCTCTCTCTTTCTATCTCTCTCTCTCTCTCTCTCTCTCTTGACTCTCTCTCTCTATCTCTCTCTCTCTTCTAATCTCATTTCAAACAAAATATGATATAAACAGTTATTTCAAACAAAAAAAAAATTTGTATATGATTAATCTAACATTCTAATTATTTATCTTATTTAAAATTTGATTGTTAAATCTCTGAGATGGCCACCACCACAAAGAAACATAACATCTCTCTCTCTCTCTCCCTCTCTCTCTCTCTCTCTCTCTCTCTCTCCCTCTCTCTCTCTCTCTCTCTCCCTCTCTCTCCTTCTCTCTTTTATTTCAAACACAATGTCCCAAACAGTTTCACATGCCATGCCTCCTCTGGATGTCTCAGTTATTTCCCTTTAACTCACTCTCCAAGTTTTTGGGTTCATCACTGCTGTAGCTTGGTACTGAACTCACAACCCGTTGGGTCTACTCACTGGATCTAACCAAATTTATACACAGATATCATCAAGGGCACATGACTCAGTAGATAAAATATTGGTTAGATTCAATAACTAGACCCCAAAATACCAGGCCACAGCAGTGTTGAACCAAAAACTTGAAGATTCGAGTTAAAGGAAGAGCCATGACATGTGAAACTAGAACAATATAACCCGGTGGACGAAATGAAGGGTTCGGTTAGAAATCCCATTCACCTGAAGAAGGCCAGAACGTACAACGGCCGAAACGTTGTGAATGTGACATGGACGATGAGGATAACAGTTCGAATAATGAAAATATTTACTTTACTATAGATATGTATTGTTAGTAATGAGATAACGATATATACATTTATATATTGATTTTCTAAGCACGTCTTAGATGTAGTACAAGACCGAAAGTATGGGGCAAGTTACTATTAATACAAAATTATAAAAGGTAACCTTCCTCGATATAACATTAGACTTAATAAGACATATATAACAACCTTGTAAAAACCTAATAGCAACCCTTTATATATCCACCCGATGTCAAATCATCCCCCATCTATAATAACGCAAGTAGCTTCATCTATTGAGAAACGAATAAGTATAAATTTGGCTAAAGAAAGAGTATTCTATGAACACAGTAATTTTTATAAAAAAAGCTTTAAAGAATAGTGGCTATAATGCCCTGAGATTAATATAAGAAATAATAAAAATAACTGGAGAAGAAATAGAAATAGAAAAATTATTTGATACCCACCCCTATTCCTCAAATGGTTAGTAGTAAGTTAAGACATAAATTCCTTGCTTTAATTGAAAAACATTTTCCTAGAAATAATACGCTTAACAAAATTTTAAATAAAAACGCCCTAAAATCAAGTTATAGTTGTACTGACAATTTGGAAAAATTATAAAAAAAAAACACAAAAATAAAATTTGAAGCAAATACTTAAACCAGAATATAAAATAGTAATCCAGAAATAAGAATAAATAATAGTAAAGAAAAATTATGTAACTGTAGAAATCCTATAAATTGTTCATTGAATAATAAATGTCTCACAGAATCTATAGATTACTAATGTACTATCTCATCTATTGAGAAACCTAATATTAAAAAAAATTATATTGGTAGCATGAATAATAGTTTTAAATTAAGGTGGAGCCAACATATTTCTTCCTTCAAAAATAATGTGCATGGTAACCAAACATCTCTATCCAAATATTTTGGCATTTGAAATAAACAAATAAAACACCCACAGTAAAATGGAAATTATTTAAAAACGAGAACTTGTAGGTCTAAAAATGACCGATGTCATTTGTGCCTACATGAATAGTTTTATATTAAGCTTCTAAAAAATAAAGATTTATTAAATCAAAGAAAAGAAATAACTATTTTTATAGACACTGCATTATGTTTTCCTTAAAACATGATTAATTGAGAAAATGTCATAACTATATATCTATTATTTGCTCACAAGTAAGAAAATGCGTGATTAAATTCCAGAATTTTAAATCTTAATTTTAATAGCCTACCTAGTATACTAATAAATATAATAAATATAGTATTTTATATCTTTATAAATAAAAAAAATATAAATATATCAAATATGTCTTAATCATATTTGAAATCTCTTTAACAAAATCCCAATGTATTTTATAAAAAATAAATAAAAATCCCAATGTATTGTATAGCTTACGTATCCTCCTAAAAACAGACAGAATGGCAATTTCTCATATAAGGAAGCCAGTATCGACAGGCAGAAATTAAAACCCACACCTAACACTTAACCTATATTTACACTTTACCATATTAAATTAGGCTTAGATCCTGATTCGTCAAAAAAGGTATCACCCGTCTAAAATTTTCTCTCTCCAACTTAAACTATACAATACTATTTAGCTTAAAAAAGAAAATTATTTTTTTCTAAAGAAATCAACATCTTTGAGAATATATATATATATATATATATATATATATATATATATATATATATATATATATTTTCGGTAAATTGCTGATGCAAACTGAATAAATAAAAAAATTAATTCCAGATACTGAAGGAACATTAATCAGTTAAGGATAAACTTTTTAAATACATTAGTATATATTATATATATATATATATATATATATATATATATATATATATATATATCCAAGTATATAATTGGTATAAACGGAATGAATTCAATAACCAACAATTTTTAAATCTTCAACATCATCATTTTTTATAAGACACCTTAGGGTGTTGAAACAAAATGGTTATTTTGTAGTGATTTTATACCATATTTATGTTATAATTTTTTTTATAAACAATTATTTAATATATATATATATATATATATATATATATATATATATATATATATATATACAAGTGCTATTTGAGGGCATATTGTTTTAAGTTCACTACAGACTCAAAGCATTTATAATATTATTTTTTTTTTATTTCAGATAACCCAGTCATATGAAGATGTTAACCCAAGAAATGAAAAGACATGTATTCATTGTTGCTTTAGTTGCAAAACAGTGATTTAAAAATCAGTAACGTTTTACATGTTGCCAGATCATTTGTTCATAAGGTTCGGTTGGAGCTAGAGGGATGCGATGGCAATGTTTCCCCTATAGAAAAAAGGAAAAAAAAAAGCATTCACAGTGCTCTGATACCGTGAGAACACCAGAATTTATACGGAATATTCAAAACATCATCGTTGAGGACCCCGGAAGATCAATGAGGTCCATCGCCAAAGAACTTCAGGTATCAGTGGACTATCAGAACCGTGGTAGATCAGGACATTCGATATAAGTCATATGTAATGATGAAAAGGCCAATTCAAATCGGCGAAAACACAGGAAAACCGTCTCATGCGTTCTAAACGGTTGCTGAACAAAGTGAAAAATCCCCACGAACATGGCAGCTTTGGTTTTTCTTCTGACGAAAAAAAACTTTGACCAAGATCAGAAAACAAACAGGCGGAATGACAGGTGGCTATATGCATCTCCTTCTGAAGTACCCAGGGTGATGCACACCAAATATCCGGGTACTGTGATGGTTTTAGGAGTTTTGAGCAGTGATGGTCATGCCATGCCACCTTACATTTTCCCACAAGGTCTTAGGATCAATGCTGCTGGATACATTAATGTTCTTAAAACGGTTCTTAAGACCTGCATAAATAAAGTATGCAATGGAAGGTCATATGTCTTTCAACAAGACTCTGCACCTTCTGACAAAGTCAATGTAACGCAGGATTTGTTATCAGAGAATTTTTACGATGATGTAACCCCCAACATGTTGCCCTCTATCTCGCCAGATTTAAATCCTCTGGAGTATTACGTGTGGAGCGTCGTTGAAAGGGGGACTAATCGACATCCTCATAGTACCATAGCTGCACTGAAGGCCGCCATTGTCCAGGTGATGTCCAAAATGAATAGGAACCACTTAATTAGAGCTTGTGGACGGGTTCGATCCCGAATAGAAGCAGTCATTGAAGCCAAAGACGGTTTCATAGAATAATTAAATAAATAAGTATCATGAAGGATATTTGTGTCAATTTGAATTAAATATATACATTTTTGCTAAGATATTGCTGTTTATTTAACATACTAAAATGTCCTCAAATAGCACTCGCATCCTGTATATATGTATATATATATATATATATATATTATGTAAAAGTATATATATATATATATATATATATATATATATATATATATATATATATATATATATATATAATATATATATATATATATATATAATTATAATTATTTATATATTATATTAAACATGTATGATTAGAATGTTCGATCAATATCAGAGATAGAGTTATCATATTTTATTTGGATAGATGTGACCTGGGTTTCTGTTTGTCTGCCGATCTTTAAAAGCGTTTAAATAAGGGTCACAAAACTCACATCTATCCATTATATATATATATATATATATATATATATATATATATATATATATATATATATATATATATATATATATAGTTTTAAGGTATGCTACATTATTAAGGTTAATGAGCTATCAGAGATAGAACGAATGTACATATAAAAGCGGACATTCTTTCTCATTTGTACTTCATCTTTCTTCTTTCAAATTCTTTCCTTGTCACTCCCTTCTCTTTATGTCCATTTGCCTTTCTTTCTCTTTTCCATCTTCATCTTTCTGTTTCTTTCTCTTTTTCGTGAATTCACTTTTACAATTTCATTCCTTCCATACATCTTCCTTTTTCACAACATACATTTATCTTTCCCCTCTTTCTTTGTACCTTTCCTCCTTTCCTTTTCTCTATTTGTCTTTCTATCAACCTCTATCACGTTCCCTTTCTTCATCTGTTTCTCGCTTTTTCCTATCACTCCTTTTTAATCCCTCTCTCTCTCTCTCTCTCTCTCTATCTATCTATCTATCTATCTTTTCTATATCTCTCTATCACTCCTTTTTAATCCCCCTCTCTCTCTCTCTCTCTCTCTCTCTCTATCTATCTATCTATCTTTTCTATATCTCTATCTATCTATCTATCTATCTATCTATCTATCTATCTATCTATCTATCTATCTATCTCTCCCTACTAAATTGTTCATATTGTCCAAATCGCTCTTGGTTTTCCTTCCCGATCGTTTATATTCGATCAGACTCACATGAATCTATTTGTTCCTCTAATTCTTCCTCGTCATCCAACTCCATTGTCTCTCAATGCACACATCCGCGCACCCTGACCCCACAGACAGACGCACATACACTTTCCTAGCCACCAACGTGAATACCTTTTCCCAATGCGCAGACAACGTCCTTCTTGGAAACTTTTCCTCCCGCCCACGTCCCAATCAATTTGCCATTCTCTTCTTTCCACTAAAATTCATGCTTCCTTTTTCAGTCTGCAAGTTGGGTCAATGATCCCGCCAGACAAAGAAAAGACGCCCCCGCACATACCTCACACCCCAACCCTGTATTATGATCACAAACACAAGTGCGAACGCAGAACCAAACACATAGACTCATTTAACGACATATACGCTTCCACCAATGGATCGCCCTTACTTTCGGCCTTGTGTCACATTCAAGCTATGCTTGGAAAAATCACTATACACTTCCACCAAAATCGCGTCTATCAGACGATAACTTTTACAAGCATATTGCATCGAAATAACAACAAAATAGTTTATCCTGACATATTGAAAGAATCAGCATGTTTTTTTTTTATTCCTAAACAAATATCGATCTTTTTCTTCGTCTATGCGTCATGACCCTTCAGGACTTTGACGATCATGGCTCTCCACAATTTCCTGCCCTTTGTGCTTCTTAATAAATTGTCTTTTTGTTATCTCTCCTATACTTTGTTCCGCTCTCCATTTACAAAAGCGTGTCCTTCTACTATGTTCCTTCAGAAGGTTGGTGATCATGGCTCTCCACAATGTCCTGCCCTTTGTAGCGCTTAATAAATTGTCTTTTTGTTATCTCTCCCAAACCTTGTTCAGCTATCAATTTACACAAGCTTGTCCTTCTTCTATGTCCCTTCAGGACATTGGTGATCATGGCTCTCCACAATGTCCTGCCCTTTGTAGCGCTTAATAAATTGTCTTTTTGTTATCTCTCCTAAAACTTGTTCTGCTATCAATTTACAAAACCGTGTCCTTCTTCTTTTATGTCCCTTCAGGACGTTGGTGATCAAGGCTCTCCACAATTTCCTGTCCTTTGCACTTCTTAATAAATTTTGTCTTCTTGTTATCTCCCCTAAACCTTGTTCCGCTATCCATTTACACAAACTCGTCCTTTTTCTTCTATGTCTTTTCACGACGTTATCGTTCATGGCCCTCCACAATTTCCTCTCCTTTGTAGCTCTTAATAAATTTTGTCTTTTTGTTATCTCTCTTAAACCTTGTTCCACTATCCATTTACTCAAGCTAAGTTCGTTAATCGTTTCGTTCCTCTGTCTCTCTTGCCATCTATCCATCCTGTGAGTATCGAATTTTCCAAACCATCTTTCCTCATTATGTGCAAGTGTAAGTGTTTGGTTCCATTTTCTCTAAATCTTCGTCGTTGCTCAAATGTTCAGTCCAAGATATTTTCAGCATCCTTCTGTATAACCAAATTTCTTTTGCTTCTAGTCTCGTTTTCATCTGTGCAGAGATTGCCCAGTATCCACTTCCATATTGGAGGACTAATATTACATAACAGTTCAGTACTCTTTTCTTTGTTTCTAACAAAAATTCTTATCTTTCGCTATGCCAGTGCACCTTAGTATTTCAGTATCGCACTTTCCGTCCTCTGTTAAAACACTTCCCAGATATTTTACTGTTTCTTAATACCTTGCTTAGCTTTTGGAAGGCATCTTTCGCTATGCCAGTGCGCCTTCGTATTTCATTATCGCACTTTCCGTTCTCTGTTACAACAATTCCCAGGTATTTAAATTGTTGTAGGTGTTTGTTTTTGGTATCCCCAATTTGTAATTTGCATGTTTGGCTGTTCCTTTTGCTAACAGCCATTCATTCCGTCTTCTTGCAAATTATGTTTTGTGCTTCTGGCCGCTTTCCTTCATTATCATCCCTGTGCCATCTGCATATCTTCTGTTGTTAAATTTGTGTCCGCGAAGAATGGATTCTGGTAAGATTTCTAATTCTCTCAGACGGGTTAAATAAGTCCGGCGAGAAGACCAATCCTTGTCTTACACTCCTCACTATTTTTGTACATTTAATGAATACATTTTCTATCTGGATGCAGGTGGTTTGCTGCGAGTATAGGTTCTGCATTATTTTCTAATATTCCTCCCCAATATTTAAAAATTACGTAACAGTTCCATCAGTTCATCGGAACTTGTTTCATCTCGAATTTTCAAGATAGCAGAGGAAAATAAATAAGGAATATGAACTCAGTATCTGTCTATATTTCTGAGATGAGGTATTATGTAAACTATTTACATTATTCGGACTATTGTCCGCATCTTTGTCGCCATATTGATTACAACGTTTCGGCCTTTCAGTATCTGTCTATATTTCTGAGATGAGGTATTATGTAAACTATTTACATTATTCGGACTATTGTCCGCATTTTTGTAGCCATATTGATTACAAAGTTTCGGCCTTTCAGTATCTGTCTATATTTCTGAGATGAGGTATTATGTACACTATTTACATTATTCGGACTATTGTCCTCATCTTTGTCGCCATATTGATTACAACGTTTCGGCCTTTCAGTATCTGTTTATATTTCTGAGATGAGGTATTATGTAAACTATTTACATTATTCGGACTATTGTCCTCATCTTTGTCGCCATATTGATTACAACGTTTCGGCCTTTCAGTATCTGTCTATATTTCTGAGATGAGGTATTATGTAAACTATTTACATTATTCGGACTATTGTCCTCATCTTTGTCGCCATATTGATTACAACGTTTCGGCCCTTCAGTATCTGTTTATATTTCTGAGATGAGGTATTATGTAAACTATTTACATTATTCGGACTATTGTCCTCGTCTTTGTCGCCATATTGATTACAACGTTTCGGCCTTTCAGTATCTGTCTATATTTCTGAGATGAGGTATTATATAAACTATTTACATTATTCGGACTATTGTCCTCATCTTTGTCGCCATATTGATTACAACGTTTCGGCCCTTCAGTATCTGTTTATATTTCTGAGATGAGGTATTATGTAAACTATTTACATTATTCGGACTATTGTCCTCATCTTTGTCGCCATATTGATTACAACGTTTCGGCCTTTCAGTATCTGTCTATATTTCTGAGATGAGGTATTATGTAAACTATTTACATTATTCGGACTATTGTCCTCATCTTTGTCGCCATATTGATTACAACGTTTCGGCCTTTCAGTATCTGTCTATATTTTGAGATGAGGTATTATGTAAACTATTTACATTATTCGGACTATTGTCCTCATCTTTGTCGCCATATTTATTACAACGTTTCGGCCTTTCAGTATCTGTCTATATTTCTGAGATGAGGTATTATGTAAACTATTTTACATTATTCGGACTATTGTCCTCATCTTTGTCGCCATATTTATTACAACGGTTCGGCCTTGTACGTTTCTGGCCTTATTTCTGAGGAGGTTGGAATGTTGAACTGATTTTATTTCGCAGCTGGGGTAAACTGTCCTAATTCCAGGTGCCATGTATAATGGATTTCATTATCAACGTCTCCTGTTAACAGTGGATGTCTATATTTCTTAGATCCAGTGACAGGACCCAATTTAGTTATTCGTTCAATTGTCCTGAGGCAGTGGAGATTTATGGAACAGGCGGAATTTATGTATCTGTTCATTTTACTATAAAATGTATTATTGGTCATTTTACTATAAATAGGTATGGCTGTGCGTTTTTAAATAAAAAAAATTACAGGCACCTCTACAATAAAATGTATTTTTATACTTCCATAGTGTTTTGTTTGGTGATTCACTATTTACCCATATCCAGGACCCCAACTGACGCTACCACCCCAATATTGGATGGATTTTAGGAACAACAACAATTAATTTATTTTTTGCTTCTATAGCTGTCCGAATGGAACATATTTCTTTACTAATGGAATACAAAAGGCATGAGGATGATTTACCCTGTGTGGAAACTTGTCGACCAGCTTTTCAGAATATTTTGAATGGAAATAGAATATAGAATATTGAGGGTTTGTTAAGACATAAAGAAAACGACTGAGATTTGAAAATTTATCAAAGAAGGCAAGTGACGACTATTTACATTATAGACATTGTCCCCATATGGCAGCAATACTCCATTTTTTGCTCTAGATATGAGTAGACTTTAAGATGAGATAGATAGATACCGAAGTTAGATATTATTGAAAACATTTGATAGATAAATTTATAGATGAAAGAATGAATAGATCTGATAGATAATTTATATAGATAGATAGATAGATAGATAGATAGATAGATAGATGAAAAGAGATAGATTGATAGATAAAAAGACGAAGATAGATAGATAATGAACAATAGATAGATAGATAGATAGATAGATAGATAGATAGATAGATAGATAGATAGATTAAAAGATTTTGAACCGCCTTGATAGATGAAAAACGATATTAGATAGATAATGAACAATTAAAGATAGATAGATAGATAGATAGATAGATGAAAAAATCGAAGATAGATAGATAGATGAAAACAGATAATATATAGATGAAAATAGATAGATATATAGATAGATAGATAGATAGATTTATGAAAAATATTTTTTAGATAATAGATAATTTGGTCATTACAGATAGATAGATAGATGTCGAGAATTTGCGAAAATAGATGAATTTTTTATATTTGAAAAACAGATAGATAGATAGATGAAAAATAAGATAGATAGATAGATAGATAGATTCTTTTAAAATAGATATATTCATTTTTAGATAGATAGATTTAGATATTTTTGCTCTAAAATCTGGATTTTTTTTTTAAAGATTTTTATCATTTAAATAACTTATCTAAAATTTTATATAGATAAGAGGTTTGAACCTCATAATTAGGTTTTTTAGTTTTTTTTTTGTTTTTTTTTTTTTTTTTTTTTTTTTTTTTTTTTTTTTTTTTCAAATCACAGAATTTAAAACAAACAAAAAAAATAAATTTTAAAAAAAACTTTGTATTTAAATCCTTAAAAACTGTACTTCTACTATATATCAAGGTATGTTAATGATATATTTAATTTTTATGTCAAGAATTTATTTCTAATTGCTGATAAAGGCGTTGGTTAGATCCAGTGACATGACCCTTCCCTGTGTT